TGTGTGCTTCTGTGCGTGTGTGCTTCTGTGTGTGTGTTTGTATGTGTGCTTCTGTACGTGTGTCTGTATGTGTGCTTCTGTGTGTGTGTTTGTATGTGTGCTTCTGTACGTGTGTCTGTATGTGTGCTTCTGTACGTGTGTCTGTATGTGTGCTTCTGTGTGTGTGTTTGTATGTGTGCTTCTGTACGTGTGTCTGTATGTGTGCTTCTGTGTGTGTGTCTGTATGTGTGCTTCTGTGTGTGTGTTTGTATGTGTGCTTCTGTACGTGTGTCTGTATGTGTGCTTCTGTACGTGTGTCTGTATGTGTGCTTCTGTGTGTGTGTTTGTATGTGTGCTTCTGTACGTGTGTCTGTATGTGTGCTTCTGTACGTGTGTCTGTATGTGTGCTTCTGTACGTGTGCTTCTGTGTGTGTGTCTGTATGTGTGCTTCTGTGTGTGTGTCTGTATGTGTGTTTCTGTGTGTGTGTCTGTATGTGTGCTTCTGTGTGTGTTTGTATGTGTGCTTCTGTACGTGTGCTTCTGTGTGTGTGTCTGTATGTGTGCTTCTGTGTGTGTGTCTGTGTGTGTGCTTCTGTGTGTGTGTTTGTATGTGTGCTTCTGTACGTGTGTCTGTATGTGTGCTTCTGTGTGTGTGCTTCTGTGTGTGTGTCTGTATGTGTGCTTCTGTGTGTGTGTTTGTGTGTGTGCTTCTGTGTGTGTGTGTCTGTATGTGTGCTTCTGTGTGTGTGCTTCTGTGTGTGTGTTTGTGTGTGTGCTTCTGTATGTGTTTCTGTGTGTGTGTCTGTATGTGTGCTTCTGTGTGTGTGTCTGTATGTGTGCTTTTGTGTGTGTGTCTGTATGTGTGCTTCTGTGTGTGTGTCTGTGTGTGTGTCTGTGTGTGTGCTTCTGTGTGTGTGTTTGTGTGTGTGCTTCTGTACGTGTGTCTGTGTGTGTGTTTGTGTGTGTGCTTCTGTGTGTGTGTCTGTGTGTGTGTGCTTCTGTGTGTGTGTCTGTGTGTGTGCTTCTGTGTGTGTGTCTGTGTGTGTGTCTGTGTGTGTGCTTCTGTGTGTGTGTCTGTATGTGTGCTTCTGTGTGTGTGTCTGTGTGTGTGTGTGTGCTTCTGTGTGTGTGTCTGTGCTTCTGTGTGTGTGTCTGTATGTGTGTTTTTGTGTGTGTGTCTATGTGTGTGCTTCTGTGTGTGTGTCTGTTTGTGTGCTTCTGTGTGTGTGTTTGTGTGTGTGCTTCTCTACGTGTGTCTGTGTGTGTGCTTCTGTGTGTGTGTCTGTTTGTGTGCTTCTGTGTGTGTGTTTGTGTGTGTGCTTCTCTACGTGTGTCTGTGTGTGTGCTTCTCTACGTGTCTGTGTGTGTGTGCTTCTGTGTGTGTGTTTGTGTGTGTGTCTGTATGTGTGCTTCTGTGTGTGTGTCTGTGTGTGTGCTTCTGTGTGTGTGTTTTTGTGTGCGTGCTTCTGTGTGTGCTTCTGTGCGTGTGTGTGTCTGTGTGTGTGCTTCTGTGCGTGTGTCTGTATGTGTAGCTGGGTTGGTATGTGTGTGTGTGTATGTTTGTTGGTTAGGTGTGTGTCTGTGTGTTCGCCTGTGTGTGTTCCATAATATCATATTGTGTTATTTATCTACTGTTGTTGTCTGTGTTGAATGAATAAAGAGGTTTGTGAAAAGCCTCCATCTCTTTCGAACCCTTTTCAAAACGATGCATTTGTGTCTTTCATGCTAAAAATCTTTATTTATCGATATTTGTGGTTTTAATTGATCCTCTAAGTTGTTCCAAAGAGTATCTCCTGAGACTCACATTGATTTGAAAATAGCTCTATTATAACCATTTTTTTGTCCAAGCAAAACAGAAAAGCAGTATTTATCATTGAGGACCGCTCTCAGTCCCTGCAGATCATCCTAATTCAATATAAACTCAAGATTAACAACGCCACATTTTCTCACACAGCCTCTGTCAGGATATCACCATAATATTTAGCCTTAGTGCCACCTCTGCTGCTTTCTATCTATCTATATCTATCTACTGTATCTATATCTATCTACTCTATCTATCTATCTACTGCATCTATATCTATCTACTGTATCTATCTATCTACTGTATCTATATCTATCTACTGCATCTATATCTATCTACTGTATCTATCTATCTATCTATCTATCTACTGTATCTATATCTATCTACTCTATCTATCTATCTACTGTATCTATATCTATCTACTGTATCTATCTATCTACTGTATCTATCTATCTACTGTATCTATCTATCGACTGTATCTATCTATCGACTGTATCTATCTATCGACTGTATCTATCTATCTACTGTATCTATCTATCTACTGTATCTATATCTATCTACTGTATCTATCTATCGACTGTATCTATCTATCTACTGTATCTATCTATCGACTGTATCTATCTATCTACTGTATCTATCTATCTACTGTATCTATCTATCGACTGTATCTATCTATCTACTGTATCTATCTATCGACTGTATCTATCTATCTACTGTATCTATATCTATCTACTGTATCCATCTATCGACTGTATCTATCTATCTACTGTATCTATCTATCTACTGTATCTATATCTATCTACTGTATCTATCTATCTACTGTATCTATCTATCGACTGTATCTATCTATCGACTGTATCTATCTATCTATCTACTGTATCTATCTATCTACTGTATCTATCTATCTACTGTATCTATATCTATCTACTGTATCTATCTATCTACTGTATCTATCTATCGACTGTATCTATCTATCGACTGTATCTATCTATCTATCTACTGTATCTATCTATCTACTGTATCTATCTATCTACTGTATCTATATCTATCTACTGTATCTATCTAGCTATCTACTGTATCTATCTATCTACTGTATCTATCTATCTACTCTATCTATCTATCTATCTACTGTATCTATATCTATCTACTGTATCTATCTATCGACTGTATCTATCTATCGACTGTATCTATATCTACTGTATCTATCTATCTACTGTATCTATCTACAGTGCCTTGCGAAAGTATTCGAACCTTTCAACATTTCGCCACATTTCAGCCTTCAAACATAAAGATATATAAAAAAATATTTTTTGTCAAGAATCAACAACAAGTGGGACACAACCGTGAAGTGGAACGAAATTTATTGGATAATTTAAACTTTTTTAACAAATAAAAAACTGAAAAGTGGGGCGTGCAATATTATTCGGCCCCCCTTGCGCTAATACTTTGTAGCGCCACCTTTTGCTGCAATTACAGCTGCAAGTCGCTTGGGGTATGTCTCTATCAGTTTTGCACATCGAGAGACTGGAATTCTTACCCATTCTTCCTTGCAAAACAGCTCGAGCTCAGTGAGGTTGGATGGAGAGCGTTTGTGAACAGCAGTCTTCAGCTCTTTCCACAGATTCTCGATTGGATTCAGGTCTGGACTTTGACTTGGCCATTCTAACACCTGGATACGTCTATTTGTGAACCATTCCATTGTAGATTTGGCTTTATGTTTTGGATCATTGTCCTGTTGGAAGATAAATCTCCGTCCCAGTCTCAGGTCTTTTGCAGACTCCAACAGGTTTTCTTCCAGAATGGTCCTGTATTTGGCTCCATCCATCTTCCCATCAATTTTTGCCATCTTCCCTGTCCCTGCTGAAGAAAAGCAGGCCCAAAGCATGATGCTGCCACCACCATGTTTGACAGTGGGGATGGTGTGTTCAGGGTGATGAGCTGTGTTGCTTTTACGCCAAACATATCGTTTTGCATTGTGGCCAAAAAGTTCGATTTTGGTTTCATCTGACCTTCTTCCACATGTTTGGTGAGTCTCCCAGGTGGCTTGTGGCAAACTTTAAACAAGACTTTTTATGGATATCTTTGAGAAATGGCTTTCTTCTTGCCACTCTTCCGTAAAGGCCAGATTTGTGCAGTGCACGACTGATTGTTGTCCTATGGACAGACTCTCCCACCTCAGCTGTAGTTATCTGCAGTTCATCCAGAGCGATCATGGGCCTCTTGTCTGCATCTCTGATCAGTCTTCTCCTTGTTTGAGATGAAAGTTTGGAGGGACGGCCGGGTCTTGGTAGATTTGCAGTGGTCTGATACTCTTTCCATTTCAATATAATTGCTTGCACAGTGCTCCTTGAGATGTTTAAAGCTTGGGAAATCTTTTTGTATCCAAATCCGGCTTTAAACTTCTCCACAACAGTATCTCGGACCTGCCTGGTGTGTTCCTTTGTCTTCATGGTTCTCTCTGCGCTTTAAACAGAACCCTGAGACTATCAAAGAGCAGGTGCATTTATACGGCGACTAGATTACACACAGGTACATTCTATTTATCATCATCAGTCATTTAGGACAACATTGGATCATTCAAAGATCCTCACTGAACTTCTGGACTGAGTTTGCTGCACTGAAAGTAAAGGGGCCGAATAATATTGCACGCCCCACTTTTCAGTTTTGTATTTGTAAAAAAAGTTTAAATTATCCAATAAATTTCGTTCCACTTCACGATTGTGTCCCACTTGTCTATCTATCTACTGTATCTATCTATCTACTGTATCTATCTATCTACTGTATCTATATATCTATCTACTGTATCTATCTATCTACTGTATCTATCTATCTACTGTATCTATCTATCTACTGTATCTATATATCTATCTACTGTATCTATCTATCTACTGTATCTATCTATCTACTGTATCTATCTATCTACTGTATCTATCTATCTATCTACTGTATCTATCTATCTACTGTATCTATCTATCTACTGTATCTATTTATCTATCTACTTACCTACTTACTTACTTATGGACCAATGTTTTTTTATCAATACCTTTCTTGTGTCTGAACTGTTTGATTATCTGTGTTGTTGAATTCAGCGGTTTTGCAAAGTCCTGTGAGAAAAACTATTGTGATTTAGAGCGATACAAGAATGCATTTTTATTGAATATCCACCATGTAGCGCCGCTGGTCACAGTTACAACATGTTGAATACTTGTATGTCCTGCAGAGGTGACGGGAGCAGGGAGCACGTCTTGGCTGATCTGATCGTTGGCTGCGACGGAGCCTTTTCTGCCATTCGCAAACAGTTCATGAGACGCAGCCGCTTCAACTACAGCCAGACGTACATCCCCCACGGATACATGGAGCTGACCATGCCCCCGCGGGACGGAGACGTGAGGCCACTACACAACACTGCGGCTGCCAAACCATTCACTTATTTTACCACAATTTATCACACATTTGTCCCTTGATTTGGTTTGATCAGTCACAGACCTGGAGTGGTTTTTAGCTCCATCCACACAATATAATATCATTTACTTCCATCACAAACATGTAACTCTGCCCCGTCTGTCTTGAAGATTACCATACCATTGCAGATTGAAACGATTGGCTCTGAGTTTACCGTGACTGTATGTAATGTGCTCGAGTGGGTGAGGTATTTAGCATTTAGCCTAGCTTTGGCTATCTCCTTTGCCGTTCGACGGCAGAGATGGATAATGACTACATCCGTTTATATTTACAGTCTATGGATCAAACTCAGAAATTATAGGTGTTTACGGATAAGGTCTCGCTAGTTCTGTCATCGTCCGCTCCCTGTGAACCAATGAAAGAATAACGACTATATTTTTATATCATTACATTTCCTGTGTTCAAAAACACATTGAATTTAAGTTAAGAAACGCACCTTTAGGAAATATCACATTAATATAGTAGAAAATGCCAAAGAAAATGTTGTCACGAAACAAAACGATGGAAAGGCTCTCAAAGCATTTACCACATGGCAATTATCTTTAAATGCCACCGTGTCTCAGGGCCGGACCTTTGTGAAGACCCAATATTAACACAATTATGCATTATATTTGAAGCGTATTGTTGTCCTTGTTTGTGACTTTAGTTCATTCATTCAAAGTCACATGTTTTTGTCTCTGTTTCTCTGTGATTTACAGTTTGCCATGAAACCAGGTTACCTTCACATCTGGCCCAGAAACACCTTCATGATGATCGCTCTGCCGAACCTGGTGAGTGAGATACATCACGTATATATTGTTAACAAAAATATAGTAATGGATGGAATAGAAGTAGTAGTAGCAGTTGAATCAGTAGAGTATAAGTAGTAGCAGAAGCAGTAGTACTAACAGTAGCAGTAGTACTAGCAGTAGCAGCAGCACTACCACTAATAATAATATTAGTGGCATCTGTCGAGTAGCAGTAGTTTGAGTTTGTTTGAGTTTATTTATTTAAGGTGTCATGCACAAAAGTGCCCAGCCCACATGGGCTTATATGACACTGAACAACAACTTCTGACTACAGACCATATACAGGCATGAAAAACAGAATTTTTTTTACAATTTGGTGCATTATCCAGGGTACAGAATCTGTTGTCTCCTCTCCCAGGCTTTAGCAACAAAAGAAGCAAAGGCAAAAACTTCATGGCAGTACAACCAGTTCATAATTTCTCCCTCCGGCCACCAAAAGACCTCTGGGTTAGAAGCATTTACTTTTTCAAATAAAATGTTTCGAAGCTCAAAGTAAAGTGGACAATACAAAACAAAATGAGGCTCATCCTCCACCACCCCCAGGTCACACACTGTACAGACACGGGCCTCTTCAGGGACCGCTTTAAAGCGCCCCACCTCCACTGCTAGAGGCAAAGTGCCGGTCCTCAGCTGGGCTAACAGAGAGCGCTGCCTTCTAGGTACATTTGACTGGATGTACAGTTCTGTGTAAAACTCCTGTTTAAATAAAATATAATGTCTTAACTTAGGTTTCCTGCAAACATCAAGTTTCCATTGTGCTTTAAACTCTGTTAATGCGTTTTGTCTAAACAAACTTATATCACATTTTAATTTTTTTAGATAAACATAATTTAAATGAGAACTTAAGAACACTTCCGCCATTTCTCTAGACCAGGGGTAATTGTTTGAACAGTTCCAATTAAAAATCTTTTTTGTGAGCCTGTGATTGGGCAGCTGGATGAGGCGGTTCCATAAACGCACCATTTCAGCCCTTTGCTTTATGAGACACGGCTCCCATCCCATGTCCCCCTGTGTCGCTGATATCGGGGTGAATTTATGCACTCCCAAAAATGTTCTAATTCCTCTATTCTGAAGAGCATTAACATGATCAATCTCCTTGAAACCCCAAACACCAGCTGCATAGAATAAAATAGAGCTAACCAAAGAGTCATACAATTGTGTATACAATAGTTGGCATCAGTAATGGTAGATAGATAGTTTGATGAATATTTTATGAATCCCTCATTGGAGAAATTCAGGGTCTTTGCATCCTTAGTACCATTAGTAGTGTAGTAGTAATAGTAGTTTCAGTAGCAGCCTCCTGTAGAATTAGGAGGAGGGGGGTCATGGGGGACAACTGCCACGCAAAGGCCCACGCCAATTTATGACAATTCATGGCAGTTTTCAGTGTTGCCTGCAAATTCCCGCGAACAGCCGTTAACCTGAACTTTCACGACAATCTACAGTGCCCCATAGTGACGGAAATCACACTTTTCATGCAGTAGGAGAGGCATCAGCAATAGCAGATAATTAGATTCATATTTTATTGATCCCACAGAGATCTTTAAGGTCTGTCCGGCGAGGATACGATGTAAGCTAGCAATGCTCACCCGGGCTTGACAGAAACAGCGCTGCTCTCAGTTCTGTGATTGGAGGAGGGCTAGCGTCTCGCCAAATTTCTACACAGCACTTTTTACGGCTTAAATTAGCGCACAAGCTGAATCTATGAGCTCAATTTTTCAATTGAATTACGGATTTTAATACAACTGAAGTAGTAACACGCATTTTTATGAACTCCTTAGAAAATAAATCAGGTATAGTTCCTTTTAGTTCCATATGCGATGAGGGCCATTACACAATATTCAAAACTGAATCAAATGTGTTCCTCTGAATGTTTAATGTCTTCAGCAGCTCAGATCCTTCATGTAATTATTGAAATACTGCAATTTTAGCAACATACTTTCACCTGTCGGAGCAGACTATAATCAGCCACAGCAATCTCAGCACACACTTGACCTTAATTCAGTCTCACGGATAATTACAGTCACTCCACCTCCCCACACCGCCCCCCACCTCCCCACACCTCCCCACACCTCCCCCCACCTCCCCACACCTCCCCACACCTCCCCCCACCTCCCCACACCTCCCTCCACCTCCATCCACCTCTGCCAGCAGTCTGGGTATCAGAAACACAGAAACAAAAGCACCAGCAGGGTCAGAAGCAGAAGTAGCAGCAGTAGCAATAGTAGTACTAGTATAGTAGCAGTAGTAGCAGAAGTAATGTGGGCGACAGTGGTCTCAGTTGGTAGAGCATTGCCTTTGAGCCAGAAGGTTTTGGGTTCGAGCCCACCTCAAGACTTTCACCATCGACTCCCACTGATCTCTGCTGTCATTGTGTCCTTGGCAAGACACTTAACCTCTGGGAACACCAAGTGCCACAACTAACAGCAGATTGATGAATCCTTAATACTTTATATCCATCTTAATTGTTGAAATGCAATGTATTTTTATGATGTATTTCACGTTTGAGATGAACTGTAAAAATATCTGTTTTTGCCTGAGATGGAATAAACATAAAAATAGCTGAGTTTGTCTGGTGTGGTCTCTCACCTCTAAGTGTTTTTTCGCTCGCCCCACACTTTGTCACTTCTCTGTGTGAGGAAGAAGAAGTGGCTGAGTGGTTGTCCCTCTTCCTATGGACCACCGCATGTGTTTGCTTTTATTAAAAGGTTTGATTTTCTGATCCGTGGCTGTAAAGTCAGAATGAGTGCGTATTCTACAGAAGGACAACAACACGCCGTCTCTCCATTTTCTCTAATGCATCCATCCATTTTCTTCCACTTCATCCGTTGCCGGGTCGTGGGGGCAGCAAGGCACCTTTTTCCGGTCGAGCACCATGGCCTCGGATTTGGAGGTGCTGATTCTCATCCCAGCCGCTTCACACTCGGCTGCAAACCGTCCCAGTGCATGTTGCAGGTCCTGGTTCGTTGGAGCCAACAGGACGACATCATCCGCAAACAGCAGAAATGAAATCCTGTGGTCCCCGAATCGGACCCCTCCGGCCCCTGGCTGCGCCTAGAAAAACTGTCCATGAATACAATGAACAGAACCGGTGACAAAGGGCAGCCCTGTCGGAGGCCAACATGCACCGGGAACAGGTCTGACTTACTGCTAATGCAAACACAGCTCTGGCTCCGGTCATACAGGGACCGGACGGCCCTCAGCAGAGGACCCCGGACCCCGTACTCCCAGAGAACCCCCCAAAGGACAACCCGGGGAACACGGTCGAACGCCTTCACCAGATCCACAAAGCACATGTGGACAGGTTGGGCGAACTCCCATGAACCCTCGAGTATCCGATGGAGAGTATAGAGCTGGTCCAGTGTTCCGCAGCCGGGACGAAAACCACACTGCTCCTCCTGAATCCGAGATTCGACCATCGGTCGTAACCTCCTCTCCAGTACCTTGGAGTAGACCTTACCTGGGAGGCTGAGGAGTGTGATTTTCAGGCTTCCTGAAAATGTGAGACTGACTTCTTCTCTGACAATGTTTAAATCCAGGCATAAAAAAAGGATTGTATCTTGACTCTTTTTGATGTACTGTGATTATTTACGATTCTAATGTTTGTTCTTGATCTTGTTTTGTTCAGCACTTTGAGTCGCCGTGTCTATGAACTGTGCTGAACCAATAAACTTGACGCCTGTTGTTGTTGTTGTCTCCAGGACCAGACCTTCACGTGCACTTTGTTCATGCCCTTTGATGAGTTTGACAAGATCACCACCGGAGACCAGGTCCTGGACTTCTTCGAGCAGTACTTCGCTGACGCCATCCCTCTGATCGGAGTGTGAGTGACGCTGGTCCACACTCAGTTGCGTTGTGTGTGTTGTGAGCGTGTTGTAGGATTGTGTTTGTGTGTCTCAGCAGGTGTCAATTCAGCTCAATGGAAGAGAAGAAGTCAGAGAAAGAGATGATGAAAAATATGTTGTTTAAATGTTTTTCAGATTGTAACATGCATCTGTCTAGACAGCTATGGGAAAAATAATTAGGCTATTGTGGATAGAGAGAGCAGAGAGAGAGAGACCAGAGAGAGAGAGAGAGCAGATAGAGAGACCAGAGAGCAGAGGGAGACCAGAGATCAGAGGGAGACCAGAGAGAGAGACCAGAGAGAGAGTATAGAGACCAGAGAGAGAGTATAGAGAGAGACTAGAGACAGAGAGCAGATAGAGAGACCAGAGATCAGAGGGAGACCAGAGAGAGAGACCAGAGAGAGAGACCAGAGAGAGAGACCAGAGAGAGACCAGAGAGAGAGACCAGAGAGAGAGAGCAGAGAGAGAGAGCAGAGAGAGAGACCAGAGAGAGACCAGAGAGAGAGCAGAGAGAGAGACTAGAGAGAGAGAGCAGAGAGAGAGAGCAAAGAGAGAGAGCAGAGAAAGAGCAGAGAGAGAGCAGAGAGAGAGAGCAAAGAGAGAGAGCAGAGAGAGAGAGCAAAGAGGGAGAGCAGAGAGAGAGAGCAGATAGAGAGCAGAGAGAGAGCAAAGAGAGAGAGCAGAGAGAGAGAGCAGATAGAGAGCAGAGAGAGAGCAGGGAGAGAGAGAGAGAGAGAGAGACTATCAAAATTGATTCCTTTTCACAAGCTCACATCAAAGATATTAAAACAGAGAGGTTTAAAAGTATTAGGCTTAAAACGCTCTTATTAAAATGTAGGTTTAAATAAAAAGTGAAATAGTAGCACACACAGCTAGACTTAGTTTTGAACATGGTCAGTGTAGAGGCCTCTCTCACGACATCACGCTGCAAAAATTATAAAAAATTAGGTAATAATTGCTTGAAACGAGTGGTTTTTATTGTGACACATTCTGACTTTGTTAAAACAAGAAGTCATTTAGTCTCATTTCAAAAACTGTTGCTTTATTTTCAAATTTTTTCTGTGTCCCATTTGCAAATCTTCAGGGCAGCCAAATTGTGCTGAAGTCACGATACATTTTTAACTTATTTTTCATGACTTTTTGCAGCGCAGGAAGACGGTAGTAACACGGTTAACAGCTCAAAAAAGACGATTTTGCATAATTTTTCTGAGTGAGTGACTCCAGCTTTGAAAAGACACGTTTTTTCTCCACGGCCATCGCTGAGACCAAAGCGCTGAAGTGTGAAATTGCCGCCGTTCTGGGGCATGTTTGTGGATCCAGGGACTTTAATTTGAAGTGAAGCTGTTTGACGCAGAGATTTGCGCGACAAAAACATGTGATTAGATATGACAGAGCGGCTAAATGACTAGTGTGAAAACGAGGGGGGGGACTGGGGAGGGGGACTGGGGAGGGGGACTGGGGAGGGGGACTGGGGAGGGGGACGGGGAGGGGGACTGGGGAGGGGGACGGGGAGGGGGACTGGGGAGGGGGACTGGGGAGGGGGACTGGGGAGGGGGACTGGGAGGGGGACTGGGAGGGGGACTGGGGAGGGGGACTGGGGAGGGGGACTGGGGAGGGGGACTGGGAGGGAAGCCAGGCTCTTTTAGAGGTCAAAGTCACATTGATATGCGGTACATTGTTGCCAAACTGCTCTCAGCAATTATGTGATGAAGCCACCGGACTGAAACGATGGAAAAATAAACCCTGTGTGTTTAGGCATCATGTGGAAAAAGTAACCAGAGAGAGACCAAAGGGAGAGACCAGAGAGAGACCAGAGAGAGAGACCAGAGAGAGAGACCAGAGAGAGACCAGAGAGAGAGACCAGAGAGAGACCAAAGGGAGAGACCAGAGAGAGACCAGAGAGAGAGACCAGAGAGAGACCAAAGGGAGAGACCAGAGAGAGAGACCAGAGAGAGAGACCAGAGAGAGAGACCAGAGAGAGAGACCAGAGAGAGAGACCAGAGAGAGAGACCAGAGAGAGACCAGAGAGAGAGAGACCAGAGAGAGAGACCAGAGAGAGAGACCAGAGAGAGAGACCAAAGGGAGAGACCAGAGAGAGACCAGAGAGAGACCAGAGAGAGACCAGAGGGAGAGACCAGAGAGAGACCAGAGAGAGACCAGAGAGAGACCAGAGAGAGAGACCAGAGAGAGACCAGAGAGAGAGACCAGAGAGAGACCAAAGGGAGAGACCAGAGAAGAGACCAAAGGGAGAGACCAGAGAGAGACCAGAGAGAGACCAGAGAGAGACCAAAGGGAGAGACCAGAGAGAGACCAGAGAGAGACCAAAGGGAGAGACCAGAGAGAGACCAGAGAGAGAGACCAGAGAGAGACCAGAGAGAGAGACCAGAGAGAGACCAGAGAGAGAGACCAGAGAGAGACCAAAGGGAGAGACCAGAGAGAGACCAGAGAGAGAGACCAGAGAGAGAGAGACCAGTGGTAGAGAGACTAGGGAGAGAGAGACCAGTGGGAAAGACAGGAGAGAGAGAGACCAAAGAGAGAAAGACCAGAGGGAAAATAGAGAGAGAGAGAGACCAGAGGGAGAACAACCAGAGAGAAAGCGACCAGAGAGAGATCAGAGAGACCTGAGAGAGAGACCAGAAAGAGAGACCAGAGATAGAGGTCAAAGTCCCATTCATAAACAGTACATTGCTGCCAAAAACGTCTCGAAGCCAAAAGATGTGAAAACAAACCCTGTGTCTTAAACATATTGTGACTTGAGGCTGTACACGAGTAGATTGAACTGTTTTGTTTTTCTTCCAGGGAGGAGCTGAAGAGCGACTTCTTCCGGCTGCCGGCTCAGGCCATGGTGTCGGTGAAGTGTTCCCCGTATCACATCGGGGATAAGTGTGTCCTGATGGGGGACGCCGCTCACGCCGTGGTGCCTTTCTACGGACAAGGAATGAACGCGGTGAGACCGGAGACTGTAAACGGATGGACCATGCTAACATTCTAGCTCACTGGACCGGAGTGAAAACAGTGGTTGCTATAGTGACGACAGAAGCCACGCCCCAGATGACAGTTCTGATCAATCATTCAACAGAAAATGTCATAAATAGTTCAATAAATAGGACCTCAATGTTACTTTTGACAACATTTGAGGAAAGAAATAGACAGATAGATACTTTTTTGATCCCCATTGGAGAAATACACGTGTCCAGTAGCAGCAAAAATACATCCATCCAAACAGATAAAACAAATAAATAGATAATTCGAAAAAAGCTAAAAATAGTAATGATGATAATAAAGAAACAGCCCTTCAGGCTTCAGCAGCAGAGGTGGAGCCACCGCTGGGTCTGGACCATTTTCTCTGCTCAGGTCTAAAGTAAAATGCTAAATGTAACATTAGCATTTTCAAAAAGTTAGCATTCCTCCAGTGGATTTTCACCTGATCCACTTGGTTCGGACCATGAATCCTCTGTGCTCTGGTCTGGACCAGTGTAAAACCATGAATCCTCTCTGCTCTGGTCTGGACCAGTGTAAAACCATAAACACTACTGCAGCAACATCTCAGGCAGAAAAATGTAAGAAAAATGCAATTTGTAAAACACAAAACAACAGCTGTTTCAGAGACACTTGGGACTCGTTGCCATTCAAAAGTAAAACCCTTTATTGTCATTGCAGTGATTTGTTGAGCTCGGATCCTACGTTAGAATTCACCCTCATGGTCCCAGTCGTGGGAATAACAATGAACAATCAGGCTTTTAACATAATGGCCAGATGAAAAATAGATTCTTTGTTGGAAACCAGATTATTTATGAGAACATCTTGGTTTGAGACGACCTTTGGCATTTCTCTGTTTCTGTGAAAGTCAGAAGCGAAAACTGTTAGCCGTGTTTTTGGCAGATGCTACACACGCTAACTCATCTCGTTCTTTTTTAGGCATTTCACTAAACGTCAACGCCCGTTAGAGAAATATATTTTTGCTTTTGATACGAAAAATTGCCACATCTGCACACGCCACAGAAAATCTATTGTCTTTTTTCTGTATTCCCCTTTTCTTTTCTCATTTTTTGTATGAACCAATTTTATCTTGAGTCCGAAATAATGATTAATAACGATAATGTGCATTTTGACTCCGAAGATTTACTCGGTTCTGGAGAGATTTACTTTATAGAAGTTTAATTCCAACTGGTTCTGGTTCCTATCAACCTACATTGATAAGTACAATCTTCTAGCTTTAGGTTTAGCTTTCTCTATGGTCCAAAAATATTTAGACTACTTGAAGAATTTGCCTTATTCCAACCTGGATCCCCTTGTTCTCCGCAGGGCTTCGAGGACTGCATCGTGTTTGATGAAATTATGAGTCAGTTCAATGAGGATTTGAGTAAGTTTTATTATTATTTGTTTATTTTTCACCGAGCTGCAGATTATTACCCAGAATAAAATGTGTTGAATTTTGTGTTAAACAGGTGCGGTTCTTCCGGAGTACACCAGGGTGAGAGTCCCGGACGACCACGCCATCGCAGACCTGGCCATGTACAACTACATCGAGGTATTTCAATCTCATTCCAGCATTTATTTGTATTCATCATTGTGAATAAATACACCGGGTTTCGCTCATGGCTTCCATCGGTCAGACGCATAATATTTAGAGTCTTTGGTGCGGTTTCTCACTAATACAACATGGCTAGCTCCTCAGCACTTGCTTTAGCTCCATCATAACCTTCTGACACTGTCTCTGGGTTCAATTCCACCTCCAGATGTGGTCTTTCTACGTCCTGTTTGCATGGAAACTTGAGAAACCAAAGACTTCTGCAAGATGAATCACATTTTTCCTCCAGGTGCTCCGGTTTCCACTAGCACTGGAACTATGCACAATAGTTTCTCGATAGGAAGAATGAGTGTGTGTATTTTTTGCGGTTTTTAACTAACACAGTTGCCTTTGCTCCATCTTAACCTTCTGACACTGCCTATAGGTTCAATTCCACCTCCAGATGTGGTCTTTCTACGTCCTGTTTGCATGTTCTCCCTGTGTCCGTGTAGGTTTCGTCCCATCTGCATTTGAGAGTATTCTGGGACTTTACTATGAGGCCTCTATTTCGATAACACATCTGCGTTCTTGTCTTGGGGAGACTCAAGAAACCAAAGACTTCTGAAAGATGAATCAAATTTTTCCTCCAGGTGCTCCGGTTTCCACTAGCACTGGAAACATGCACGATAGTTTCTCGATAGGTAGAAGTGTGTGTGTATTTTTTGCAGTTTTTAACTAATACAATTGCTTAATACAGTTGCTTTAGCTCCATCTTAACCTTCTGACACTGCCTCTGGGTTCAATTCCACCTCCAGATGTGGTTTTTCTACGTCCTGTTTGCATGTTCTCCTTGTGTCCGTGTAGGTTTTGTCGCATCTGCTACAATGTTTCCTATACCTGCATTCCTTACATGCATTTGAGAGTATTCTGGGACTTTACTATGAGGCCTATATTTCGATAACACATCTGCGTTCTTGTCTTGGGGAGACTCAAGAAACCAAAGACTTCTGCCAGATCGATGACATTTTCCTCCAGGTGCTCCGGTTTCTCCTCGCACTGGAAACATGCGCAATAGTTTCTCGATAGGGAGATTGAGTGTGTGTTTGTGAGCGTGGAAACAGAAATGGAAATGATCCTAAGCTACAATCCACAGGTGTTTATAAAGCCTACTGCTGCTCATATGAATTGCCTCTGGTGGGATGAGTAGATAAAGTCTTAATCTGAATATGACAAGTTTTTGCCTCTAAAACAGTTGATGTTATTGAAGATGTATTGGCAATAGTGACTTATGATTTTGTCCAATTAAATTATATTGTTTACAAAAGTGTGCTTTGAACAACATGTGACATCACAGAGTACTCAGCAGTCCAGGATACAGGTCTGAGATGTCTGCCCAGGTTTCATTGGGTTAGGACTAGAGTAGGGTTTAGGGTTAGAGGTTAGAGGTTAGAGGTTCGGGTTGACCATAGTTAGGATTAGGGTTAGGCCAAGGGTTAAAGGTATATGGGAGGATTTTTCCCAAATTTTAGGAATGAACCGCCCTCTCCACTTTTTGAACAAAACTGCCTGGTCGTATTGGACGAGCACGAATCCCCAGAATGATTGACAGTTGGGAGGACCAATAGTATTTTTTTACGCTCTAGCTTCTAACACTGCATGAGTTGTGTGGTCCTCTGTTTATCTGTCTGATTAATTTTATTGTTTTAAATTGTACATGTTTTTACTGCATACATAATGTTTTTGTATTTCTATTTTATATATTTTTTTAAACATTTGAATCTGGCAAACCTGTATATTTACATGTGTTACTTTTGTCTCTGTGCCGTACTTTGGAAATCCACCCGGAAGTAGAAAATCTTAATATATACCTTAAAGAATTATTATTTCATCAACAATAAAAAAGAAGGCTGAGTATTGTAGAAAGATTTACTGATTTGACAAATTATTTCTGGGAAGGGTCCAGGGGCCTTGTAGAAATGTGAATACGGCCCAACATGTCTGTGAGAATATGTACATTTCAGATTGTAACTATCCCGAGACGGTCTTTCTTTTCCTGTAATACACCATTTTGATTTGCCGTGACTCTCACACAGTCGTACCATTACCACAGCTTGAAACCCATTACTGGAGCTCGTGTTCAAGGTTTTCCCGTCAGATGAAACGCCCGCTCTCCTCCTCTTCAGTCTGAGTGCGTCTGTTCGTCTCCCGTCATCACCCTGACAGCCTTCCCCTTGGCTTACACACCCTGTCAGCGCCGATCACACGTGCTACAGCTAACGACCTCCACTCCTGATTAATCCTGGTCACACCGGGAGTTGATTGCTAATGACACCGGTTCAAACGGCGGGTTATAAATAGCTCTAGGTGCAACGGTGTGGAGTGCAGAAATGTGTTGATATGAGCTGCGATCACACCGAGGTAATGGCCCCTGAAACCCACGGCGACCATTAGGGACATTCTTCTGCCATGGTTACTTGTTGATGCTCAGTAGAGAGAGGATAAGGAAGAGAGAGAGAAAGAGAGTTTGGTCACATCGGAGCAGGTTATATGTAAAATGTGCTCTTTATGGATCCCTGAAGGGCAATTCATCCTCTGCATTTGACCCATCCTGATGCTACTAAGGCTTTCATCAGGAGCAGCGGTCGCCGTAGTAACAGCGCCCGGGAACCCATCTCCAGATGTTGATGCTCGGCTTGGTCAGGACCAGAGCTGGAGGATTTGACCTAATGTGCATGTTTTTATTGATAGGGGAGACTGGAGCACCCGGAGGAAACCTACGCAGACACTGGGAGAATATGCAGTGAGAGAACTGAAAAAGAGAGACCAGAGAGAGAGACCAGAGAGAGAGACCAGAGAGAGAGACCAGAGAGAGACCAGAGAGAGAGACCAGAGAGAGAGACCAGAGAGAGAGACCAGAGAGAGAGACCAGAAAGAGAGACCAGAAAGAGAGACCAGAGAGAGACCAGAGAGAGAGACCAGAGAGAGAGACCAGAGAGAGAGACCAGAGAGAGACCAGAGAGAGAGACCAGAGAGAGAGACCAGAGAGAGACCAGAGAGAGAGACCAGAGAGAGAGACCAGAAAGAGAGACCAGAGAGAGACCAGAGAGAGAGAGACCAGAGAGAGAGACCAGAGAGAGACCAGAGAGAGACCAGAGAGAGAGACCAGAGAGAGACCAGAGAGAGAGACCAGAGAGAGAGACCAGAGAGAGACCAGAGAGAGAGACCAGAGAGAGAGACCAGAGGGAAGACCAGGGAGAGATCAGAGTGAGACCAGAGAGAGAGAGCAAAGAGGGAGACCAGAAAGGGATCAGAGAGAGACCAAAGAGAGAGTAGAAAGAGACATATGGGCCTTCTGAACAATCAGAGCGCGTCTACAGCGTGACGAGAGTGAGCCAAAACCGACGAGTTTCAAAAAAAAAGTTCAGGAGAGACTCTAAAAATCCCAAATGTAATTCAACCTTTGCTAAAGCTACGAGCCGTTTTAGTTCACACACTTTGGGGGAATCTCTTTACAGCCTGCGTAGATTTAGGTTGCAGTACCACAGGTGGCCACTTGTCCACATGGAGACAGGTTTAAGCTAGCATTACCATATCCAGATATCATAATACATCCATGGGAAACTGCTGGCTTTTGGGACCAGGGGGATGGAGATTTCAGATCAGAGTCCAAAGAGGAGTGTTCTGCCTGAGGGGTGTAAATGTTTGGACTGAGATTGAACCGTTCATAGATGTGTGTCCTGTGTCTCTCTCCTCAGATGAGAGCTCACGTCAACTCCAAGTGGTTCTTGTTCAGAAAATATGTGGACAACTTCCTCCACCTCCTCATGCCGCGGACCATCATTCCTCTCTACACCATGGTACGTCTACGCCAGGCATGTCCAAACTCAGGCCCGGGGGTCAATTGCAGTCCTCAGTGTCATTTTATGCGGCCCTTGGCGTCGCTAACCTTGCCTGCAAGCTGAGTTCTCGCGGTATTTGTAGTTCACAAACACTCGAGAATACATCTTGCCACGCTCCCGCCAACCCTTTCCGAGTAGAACATCTAGGTGTTCAAGCCAATCACGCGCCAGTCTGGGGGTTTAGGGCGGGATATCCGGGTTTGACGAAAGCAAGAAGTGCCGGGCCGAAGCAAAACAAACATGGCTACGCAGGAGGACGGACGCGTAGCTGAGGCTATCAAGTCAGTTTTAGCAAAATCTCCAATTTCTTTTTTGAAAGATGAACAGCGAGAGGCGCTTTGTGCATTTCTGGACGGCAACCTTGGTAGGCGGGCACACAGCGTCACTTCGCCCAATCAGCTTGAAGTATTCTGCTGCTTATCCCTCCTTTCTCCGAAAGGATTCTCCTGCAGAAGTCCCAGATTGATATTGTTGAGAACCCATTAAAGTTCTACACAATCATCAACCTGGCTCTTGCTCAAAGTAGTCTCTGAGATCATAAACACAAGTTAACTTTGTCATTCATCCAACTTCAGCACAGCCAATATATATGTTATAACTCTCAGCCATTAATGGTGCCACTGAGGCTGGTGAGATGGTAAACATTTGTCATCCAGCCAGCTTCAGCTCTGTTATAGATCATTTTAAATCTAAGAACAGCTCAATCCCAGTCAAGACAGTTTTTCATTCCGTGATATCTGCCCCTCTCGACTTGTCTGGTGAACTAATGTGGCCCTCTTACTAAAATGTTTGGACACCCCTGGTCCACACACTGAAAATACACACTGCAGATAGTTATAAATCTATATTATTACAATCTAACCTGTACCTTTCTGCACTTTTCTCCAGGTGACATTCACGAGGACGAGATACCATCAGGCGGTGGAGCGCTGGCATTGGCAGGACAAAGTAAGAGGCTGTTTCTCTTTTATTTTTCATGTTTTTTAGATTTAGTGTTTACTGAGGAGGCGGAGGAATCGATTGGTAATATGCATGTAAACATGTGTGAGTATGTGGAAAACCAGCCTCACGGTCATCAACCTGAAAATGAGAATAATAATAATAAGATAAGAAAGTACTGTGAAAATATAATAATATGGCTATAGGTACTCAGGAATAAACATGTCTTTGAATATGCACACATTGACAGTATGAAATAGTGGATAAGGAAAATACACATCTTTAAATATACAATACATACAAATACAAAGCAGATAAACTTGACGCCTGGAAGTTTAGTCTCAGTTTCCTTCCGTTTTTTTCAGACAGAACCAAATTAGCTATATCTCCCCATTGTCAACCACCCAACTCCATATATCTCCCCATATGTAATGTAATGTAATCTTTATTTATATACCACCTTTTCACTGCACATCGGAGTCTCAAAGCGGTTTACAATTGTTATTTTTTGTGAGTTGGTACAGGAGGCACATGCCAGACCTATTGTACATATTTTTTGTGGTAGGGGAAACCGGAGTACCCGGAGGAAACCTACGCAGACACAGGGAGAACATGCAAACTCCAATCAGAAAGGCCCTGGTCCAACCCGGGATTCGAACCCAGGACCTTCTTGCTGAGAGGCGAGAGTGCTATCCACTCAGCCACCGTGCCGCCGTGATATCAACCACTCATTCAATGTTACGACACACATACGTCACACATGGAAAGACATACTGTACGTGTCACATCAGGAGACGATCAGAGTCATATCACGGATACACAATCGGAGCAGATACACAATCGGAGCAGATACACAATCGGAGTGACTTACACAAGACCAGATCTCTTGTACAGCTGCAGTATCTATTTCCCAGTATGTTTTTCTACTGGGAAAAAAATACAACCCAACTTTCCAAAGTGTCTGAACAATTACAAGTGTTAGCCTTTCCTTCCTACTCCCCCTGTGTGTTCTAAATATAGTCAGTAAGTAAATTGAAGAAGTGGTAGATGAAATAGTTGGTGAGAAAACCAGGCTTTGTGTTGCTCACTGGAAAAGAGATGTTTGTTCGTATCACAAAAGGCATCAATCAGGGCAATAAAACAAACATGAGATCATGAATATAATAAATCACAATGCTTTAAAAACCTAAATCGACACAGAACTGTTTTCAATCTGGATTTGAACATTGTCAGAGAAGAAGCCTGTCTCACGTTTTCGGGAAGACTGTTCAAGATTTTCGCTGCATGAATCTTAAATGTAGCCTCCTCATGTTTAGTCCTGACTCAGAGTCCCAGCAGGAGGCCAGTCCCTGTGCTCCTCAGAGTCCCAGCAGGAGGCCAGTCCCTGTGCTCCTCAGAGTCGCAGCAGGAGGCCAGTCCCTGTGCTCCTCAGAGTCCCAGCAGGAGGCCAGTCCCTGTGCTCCTCAGAGTCCCAGCAGGAGGCCAGTCCCTGTGCTCCTCAGAGTACAGGGACTCTGTACCTGTACTCTGTACTCCTCCTGCTGTGGACTCTGCTCCTCAGAGTCCACAGCAGGAGGCCAGTCCCTGTGCTCCTCAGAGTCCCAGCAGGAGGCCAGTCCCTGTGCTCCTCAGAGTCGCAGCAGGAGGCCAGTCCCTGTGCTCCTCAGAGTCCCAGCAGGAGGCCAGTCCCTGTGCTCCTCAGAGTCCCAGCAGGAGGCCAGTCCCTGTGCTCCTCCAGAGTACAGGGACTCTGTACCTGTACTCTGTACTCCTCTGCTGTGGACTCTGCTCCTCAGAGTCCACAGCAGGAGGCCAGTCCCTGTGCTCCTCAGAGTCCCAGCAGGAGGCCAGTCCCTGTGCTCCTCAGAGTCCCAGCAGGAGGCCAGTCCCTGTGCTCCTCAGAGTCCCAGCAGGAGGCCAGTCCCTGTGCTCCTCAGAGTCCCAGCAGGAGGCCAGTCCCTGTGCTCCTCAGAGTCCACAGCAGGAGGCCAGTCCCTGTGCTCCTCAGAGTCCACAGCAGGAGGCCAGTCCCTGTGCTCCTCAGAGTCCACAGCAGGAGGCCAGTCCCTGTGCTCCTCAGAGCCCACCAGGAGGCCAGTCCCTGTGCTCCTCAGAGTCCACAGCAGGAGGCCAGTCCCTGTGCTCCTCAGAGTCCACAGCAGGAGGCCAGTCCCTGTGCTCCTCAGAGTCCCAGCAGGAGGCCAGTCCCTGTGCTCCTCAGAGTCCCAGCAGGAGGCCAGTCCCTGTGCTCCTCAGAATCCCAGCAGGAGGCCAGTCCCTGTGCTCCTCAGAGTCCCAGCAGGAGGCCAGTCCCTGTGCTCCTCAGAGTCCACAGCAGGAGGCCAGTCCCTGTGCTCCTCAGAGTCCCAGCAGGAGGCCAGTCCCTGTGCTCCTCAGAGTCCCAGCAGGAGGCCAGTCCCTGTGCTCCTCAGAGTCCACAGCAGGAGGCCAGTCCCTGTGCTTTGGAGCGTTCCTTTTCTACCACAAATTTGGAGGCATGGCGGTTCGTAAGATTCACGAGCTGCTGGCCAACGAAATTGATGGGATGTACAAGAGTTAAGCCTCATGGTGGTTGAGAGCGCCGTGTCTGGACAAAGGAGAGTGGTGTTTGTGGAACAGTTGATGAAAGACCTCGCAACTCGTTCACTCGAAGGGCATAAGCCTCAGGAGATGAGGCTGAATGACATTGTTTGCCAATAATAACTCTCTGACCCGGCATGGATTTGCCCCTGTGTACGGAGGTCTGAGGGCGCCGCAATTCAGTTTAATTGGATTTAATAGAATATCTGCCTGCCCCTCCCTCCTCACTCCCTCTAAGTCTTTCCTGCTCATCCCCCCCCTCACCTAGCCCCCTCTGACGGCCCACATTGGCGAAGGGTGGCCGGAGTTTACTTCCATAATAAAAACGTCCGTGTTTTATCCAAAACAGAATGTGTCTTATCCAAACTGTCTGTGATATGTATGTTACTGCTCTCTGCTGTTTATTCTACTGTTTGTCGCACGCCGCCGTAAAGATGGCGCCGTGGCAAGAGCTCTGGTGTGTGCCGCCTCTGTCTGGTGCACACTGGGGTAGTCTTGCACAGTTTTTCCAATGTGGTTTTACTGCAAATGGCAAATAAATGAATCTGAATCTGAATCCTCAGAGTTGGCTCATGTGTCTCTAACATGTCACAGAGGCACTTTGAGGTCATGGAGAGACTTGTAACAAACAGATCCTGAGTTAAAGTCTATTCTCTGAGCCACAGGTGCAGAGACCTGAGACCAGGACTAATGTGATCCTACTTCCTGGTTCTAGTCAGGACTGGACTCGAGCTGCAGCAGTTTGAATCCACTGCAGCTGTTTCAGATCTTGTTTGGAGAGACCAGTGAGCTGTAAAACATGAATGCACATGTGTTGGTGGCATTACATAACTCCCTCAGAATCGTGCTGTGCTAATGGTGTTTGCACAGCTACAGAATAAAAGAGTTCTCTCTGTAATACAGATGGAATACACAGTAGAATATAGATATATAGATTGGATTTGATCTTATGATTCAAATCATGCAGCTGCTGCCTGTGATTTTTTCACTTTTCAGGCTGATAATGAACATTTTACTCACGTGCACATTTGAGTGGAGGCGAATTGAGTTGGAATAGTTTGCTAAAACAGGCCCACTCCACAGAGCAGCCCCTCTGGACGATCTGATCCAAGCTCTCAGCTCCTGTTCAGCCCCAAAACCAGATTGGACCATGAGAAAAAAAGCAAAATATTCTAGTTTCAAGTGCAGGAGCAATGTTGTCCCTTTTGTGAATCTTGTTTTAAAACCAACAAAATGCAACAATGTCGTAACGAGAAGATGTTTCTCTGGTCCTGGTTGGATGTAGTTCAGTCCTAGTTTCTTTGAAATTCTAAAAGATTGGACTTATGTGAAAAATAAGTAATAACTACTACGTCTCCTTACTCTTATTTTTGAAGATAGAGACCAGATAGAGACCAGATAGAGACCAGAGAGAGACCAGAGAGAGACAAAAGAGAGACCAAAGAGAGACCAAAGAGAGACCGGAGAGAGACTAGAGTGAGACTAGAGTGAGACTAGAGGGAGACTAGAGAGAGATTAGAGTGAAACTAGAGAGAGACTAGAGACGAGAGAGACCAAAGAGAGACTAGAGAGAGAGTTTGTTGCACTAAAGTGGAGATTTATAGAAAACTAAGGAATTTCACAAGAGAAAATAAGTTCTGATCGAGCAGAAACACTAAAATTCCGACAAAATCCAACGTTTGCTGCAGCTTCACTGTCTCTGGGACGAGTCATTTTAGTTCACATTGAGGTGTACGGGGAAAATCTCTTTACAGCTGTGTTGATTCAAGCTGCAGTACCACAGGTGAACACTTGTCTCTGTGGATTTAAGCTGCAGTACCACAGGTGAACACTTGTCTCTGTGGATTTAAGCTGCAGTACCACAGGTGGCCACTTGTCTCTGTGGATTTAAGCTGCAGTACCACAGGTGGCCACTTGTCTCTGTGGATTTAAGCTGCAGTACCACAGGTGGCCACTTGTCTCTGTGGATTTAAGCTGCAGTACCACAGGTGGCCACTTGTCTCTGTGGATTTAAGCTGCAGTACCACAGGTGGCCACTTGTCTCTGTGGATTTAAGCTGCAGTACCACAGGTGGCCACTTGTCTCTGTGGCTTTAGGCTGCAGTACCACAGGTGAACACTTGTCTCTGTGGATTTAGGCTGCAGTACCACAGGTGGCCACTTGTCTCTGTGGATTTAAGCTGCAGTACCACAGGTGGCCACTTGTCTCTGTGGATTTAAGCTGCAGTACCACAGGTGGCCACTTGTCTCTGTGGATTTAAGCTGCAGTACCACAGGTGGCCACTTGTCTCTGTGGATTTAAGCTGCAGTACCACAGGTGGCCACTTGTCTCTGTGGCTTTAGGCTGCAGTACCACAGGTGAACACTTGTCTCTGTGGATTTAGGCTGCAGTACCACAGGTGGCCACTTGTCTCTGTGGATTTAAGCTGCAGTACCACAGGTGGCCACTTGTCTCTGTGGATTTAAGCTGCAGTACCACAGGTGAACACTTGTCTCTGTGGATTTAAGCTGCAGTACCACAGGTGGCCACTCGTCCCTGTGGCTTTAGGCTTCATGGTACCTTTGTCTTTCCCTTCAGGTGATAAACCGGGGTCTGTTCCTGTGTGGCACCGGTGCAGTCCTGGGCGGCTCGTACCTTCTCTTCAAAAACCCTCCGAACATCGACAAAATCGACATCGAGAAACTGTGGAACAGACTCCTCTCCTTCCGGAACTTCTGAAAATAACGGCTGCCATTTCTGTGCCCGGACTTTGATTAGAAGTTAATTGAATTTATTAATTTATAATGAGAGAACTACGTCAGAAAAATTAACCGGAAATATTTTCAGTATTTAGGTCAATGTAAAAAAAGGACCGGAATAGCAGAGATGTAAGTGGGACCAGAAAGAGACCAGAGAGAGACCAGAGAGAGACCAGAGAGAGACCAGAGAGAGACCAGAGAGAGCCCAGAGAGAGAGAACAGTGAGACCAGAGAGAGACCAGAGAGAGACCAGAGAGAGACCAGAGAGAGACCAGAGAGAGACCAGAGAGAGACCAGAGAGAGACCAGAGAGACACCAGAGAGAGACCAGAGAGAGACCAGAGAGAGACTAGTTAGAGACTAGTTAGAGACCAGAGAGAGACCAGAGAGAGACCAGAGAGAGACCGGAGAGAGACCGGAGAGGGGCTGGAGAGAGACTAGAGAGACCAGAGAGAGACTAGTTAGAGACCAGAGAGAGACCGGAGAGAGACCGGAGAGAGACCGGAGTGAGACTAGAAAGAGACTAGAGAGAGACCAGAGAGAGACCAGAGAGAGACCAGAGAGAGACCAGAGAAAGAGACCAGAGAGACTAGAGAGAGACCCGTTCTAACTTGTTGTAGTTCTAACTCAGCCTGAAGACTGTAATCGATCCAGAATTGTGTTTTTGAAAAAGGCAAAATTCTTGCTGCATCTTGCCCTTTGTACATGTCACATGTTACTGAAGAATTAACGTTTATTTTTAATAAACTGACAATCGTTTACATTCAATTAGTGCACCTCTAGTCTCTTTCTGGTCTCTCTCTGGTCCCTCCCTCTGGTCTCTCTCTCTCTGGTGTCTCTCTCTGGTCTCTCTCTCTCTGGTCCCTCCCTCTGGTCTCTCTCTCTCTGGTCCCTCCCTCTGGTCTCTCTCTCTCTGGGCCCTCTCTCTGGTCTCTCTCTCTCTGGTGTCTCTCTCTGGTCTCCCTCTGGTCTATCTCAAGTCTCTTTCTATTCTCTCTCTCTCTATAGTCTCACTCTATTCGGTCTTGGCACAGGGTTCTGGTCTTGGTCTTGGTCTTGGTCTTGGTCTTGGTCTTGGTCTTGGTCTTGGTCCTGGTCCTGGTCCTGGTCCTGGTCCTGGTCCTGGTCCTGGTCTTGGTCTTGGTCTTGGTCTTGGTCTTGGTCTTGGTCTTGGTCTTGGTCCTGGTCCTGGTCCTGGTCTTGATCCTGGTCCTGGTCCTGGTCCTGGTCTCGGTCCTGGTCCTGTTTCTGGTCCTGGTCTCGGTCTGGTCCTGGTCTGGTCTGACTCACAGCCGCTGGTCTCTGAAGTCGCTGGACCGTGTTTTGTTGCAATAACTAAACAAAGGCACAGAGCAGAGGGCAGCGGCCTGAGGTTCAGAAGAAAAATAAACGTTAGGAGAGAGAGTAAATAAGTAATATTTATTTATGTAGCGCTCTTCACAGACCAAGGTCACTCAAAGCGTTCTGCAAAGGTCAGAGTTCAGAGATGGATCAAAGGCCTGATCATATCTAATAAGATCATCCATCCATCCATCCATTTTCTTCCGCTTTATCCGTTGCCGGGTCGCGGGGGCAGCAGTCTAAGCAGAGACGCCCAGACTTCCCTATCCACACACACTTCCTCCAGCTCGTCCGGGTGGACCCCAAGGCATTCCCAGGCCAGCTGCGAGACATAGTCCCTCCAGCGTGTCCTAGGTCTTCCGCGGGGCCTCCTCCCGGTGGGACGTGCCCGGAACACCTCCCCAGGGAGGCGTCCAGGAGGCATCCGGAACAGATGCCCGAGCCACCTCAACTGGTTCCTCTCGACGTGGAGAAGCAGCGGCTCTACTCCGAGCTCCTCCCGTGTGACTGAGCTCCTCACCCTATCTCTAAGGGAGCGCCCAGCCACTCTGCGGAGGAAGCTCATTTCGACCGCTTGTATCCGCGATCTCGTTCTTTCGGTCATTACCCAAAGCTCATGACCATAGGTGAGGGAGGGAACGAAGATTGACCGGTAAATCGAGAGCTTTGCCTTTCGGCTCAGCTCCCTCTTTACCACAACGGTCCGATACAGCGACCGCATCACTGCGCACGCTGCACCGATCCGCCTGTCAATCTCACGCTCCATTCTTCCCTCACTCGTGAACAAGACCCCGAGATACTTGAACTCCTCCACTTGAGGAAGGACCTCTCCACCCACCTGAAGAGGGCAGGGCACCTTTTTCCGGTCGAGCACCATGGCCTCAGATTTGGAGGTGCTGATTCTCATCCCAGCCGCTTCACACTCGGCTGCAAACCGTCCCAGTGCATGCTGCAGGTCCTGGTTCGTTGGAGCCAACAGGACAACATCGTCCGCAAACAGCAGAGATGAGATCCTGTGGTCCCCGAACCGGACCCCCTCCGACCCCTGGCTGCGCCTAGATATTCTGTCCATAAATACAGTGAACAGAACCGGTGACAAAGGGCAGCCCTGTCGGAGGCCAACATTTACCGGGAACAGGTCTGACTTACTGCCGGCAATGCGAACACAGCTCTGGCTCTGGTCATACAGGGACCGGATGGCCCTCAGCAGAGGACCCCCGACCCCGTACTCCCGGAGAACCCCCCAAAGGACACCCCGGGGAACACAGTCGAACGCCTTCTCCAAATCCACAAAGCACATGTGGACAGGTTGGGCGAACTCCCATGAACCCTCGAGTATCCGATGGAGAGTATAGAGCTGGTCCAGTGTTCCGCGACCGGGACGAAAACCACACTGCTCCTCCTGGATCCGAGATTCGACCATCGGCCGTAGCCTCCTCTCCAGTACCTTGGAGTAGACCTTACCGGGGAGGCTGAGGAGTGTGATCCCACGATAATTGGAACACACCCTCCGGTCCCCCTTCTTGTAGAGAGGGACCACCACCCCGGTCTGCCACTCCATTGGCACCGCCCCCGATCGCCACGCGATGTTGCAGAGACGTGTCAACCAAGACAGTCCTACAACATCCAGAGACTTTAGATAATCAGGGCGGATCTCATCCACACCCGGAGCCTTGCCACCATGGAGGCTACCAACCACCTTGGTGACCTCAGCCAGGGAGATGGATGTATCCGCCCCAACATCCTCAGCCTCTGCCTCTGTAACAGAGGACGTGACGGGGGGATTGAGGAGAACCTCAAAGTATTCCTTCCACCGTCCGACAATATCCCCCGTCGAGGTCAGCAGCTCTCCACCCGCACCGTACATGGTGTTGGCAAAGAACTGCTTCCCCCTCCTGAGGCGCCGGACGGTTTGCCAGAATTTCTTTGAGGCCGACCGATAGTCATGCTCCATGGACTCTCCGAACTCCTCCCAGTCCCGGGTTTTTGCCTCTGCAACAGCCCGGGCCGCGGCACGCTTGGCCTGCCGGTACTGGACAGCTGCCTCAGGAGTCCCCCGAACCATCATGGCTCGATAGGACTCCTTCTTCAGCCTGACAGCATCCCTTACTGCCGGTGTCCACCACCGGGTTCGGGGGTTGCCGCCGGGACCAGCACCAGAGACCTTGCGACCACAGCTACGAGCCGCCGCATCGGCGATTGAGGCAGAGAACATGGTCCACTCGGACTCCATGTCCCCCTCCTCCACCGGGACCTGGGAGAAACTCTCCCGGAGGTGTGAGTTGAAAGTCCGTCTGACAGGGGGCTCAGCGAGACGTTCCCAGCTGACCCTCACTATACGCTTGGGTCTGCCAGGTCTGACCGGCTTCTTCCCCTGCCAGCGGATCCAACTCACGACCAGGTGATGATCGGTTGACAGCTCCGCCCCTCTCTTTACCCGAGTGTCCGAGACACGCGGTCGAAGGTCAGATGATACGACAACAAAGTCAATCATCGACCTCCGGCCTAGGGTGTCCTGGTGCCACGTGCACTGGTGGACACCCTTGTGCTCGAACATGGTGTTCGTGATGGACAAACCGTGACTGGCACAGAAGTCCAACAACTGAGCACCGCTCGGGTTCAGATCAGGGGGGCCGTTCTTCCCGATCACCCCTCTCCAAGTGTCACTGGCGTTTCCCACATGGGCGTTGAAGTCCCCCAGGAGAATAACGGAGTCCCCGGGCGGTGCACCGTCCAGTACCCCTCCCAAGGACTCCAAGAAGGCCGGGTACTCTGCACTGCCGTTAGGCCCGTAGGCCGTCACAACAGTGAGAGACTTGTCCCCCACCCGGAGGCGGAGGGACGCGACCCTCTCATTCACCGGGGAGAACTCCAACACGTGGCGGCTGAGATGGGGGGCAATAAGAATGGCCACCCCAGCTCGCCGCCTCTCCCCGCGGGAAACACCAGAAAAGTGGAGCGTCCAACCCCTCTCAAGGAGTTGGGTTCCAGAGCCCAAGCTGTGTGTGGAGGTGAGGCCGACTATCTCTAGTCGGTATCGCTCAACCTCCCCCACAAGCTCGGGCTCCTTCCCCCCCAGTGAGGTGACGTTCCACGTCCCAAGAGCCAGCTGTTGTGTGTGCGGACTGGGTCGTCGAGGTCTCCGCCTTCGACTGCTGCCCAGTCCTCTCTGCACCATGCCACCACGGACCCCTCTGCAGGTGGTGGGCCCACAGGAGGGACTGCCCACGTCGTCCATTCGGGCTGAGCCCGGCCGGGCCCCGTGGGCTAAGGCCCGGCCACCAGGCGCTCGCCTACGAGCCCCGACCCCAGGCCTGGCTCCAGGGTGGGGCCCCGGCTGCGCCATGCTGGGCGACGTCACTGTTTTTGTATGAGTGCTGTCCATGCTAATAAGATCATGAAGTATAATAATCTTAAAACTATGAAAATAATATTACATGACAAACTAGATTCACGGACGACAGTGGCTCAGTTGGTAGAGCATTGGCCTTAGAGCCTGAAGGTTGTGGGTTTGAGCCCATCACAAGACCTGCTTCACGACTCCCACTGATGTCTGCTGTCGTTGTGTCCTTGGGCAAGACACTTAACCCCACTTTGCCTGAAGCTCCCGCTGAAAGATCTCAGCTCCTGTGGACTCAGCACCTGAAGGAGGATCAGAGAGGGGCTGGTGCTCTGTGGACTGGGTGCAGCTCTGACTGCCACCCCCCCGACCCAGAAATGGATTAAGGGGAAGAAGATGGATGGATGGAAAATACATTCAAGCACAAAAACTTGCCATTAAAAAATATGCACAGTTCATGTTATTTTTTATAAATAAATCTTACAAAATTTTACATTTTTCAGTGTAGTATATACAGATAGATATGGAGCAGTTTGGCCACGCCCACCATGTATTAGGAATGGACTGACTGAGTGTGACATCACAATAGTTGAAAATAAGCTGGAGCCATTTTCCTCACATGGTCATTTGTTCTGACAGAATTAAACGACGCAGATCTGATTGGTCAGTCCTTACAGGCTCAGATCTGGATTTACAAAGACAACACACAACATCAGGGACTACAGGTGGAAATTAGCACTGCTGCTACAACCTGGTGCAAGGCATCTCTCCTTTTGGCTAATTGTACACTGTCCCTGTAAAAATAAAAAACCATACCATACCGCACCATACCTACCAGGATCACAGAGAGCTCTAAATCACGTCACGGTGAGTGAGACACGAACGATTACTAAGCTTGATGAGTTTACTTTTACTGTACCAATGACTGGGGGTTTGTGTTTTTGCCCTGACCCGTGAAGAATTAGAGGGAACATTGCAAATGAGTCAACAGGAACCAGAGAGAGATGGAGCAAGACTTCATCCATGAGCACTTTCCTATTGGGCATCATTGAGCTAGCGGGTTAGCATTGTCCATCTGTAAACTATGATCTACACTGTAACACATTTCTGTAAAATCACAATGAAATTTCAACTTTAAACAAATGCTATTTTGATAAACAATTCAAACATTCAAATGTAAATATAAATTGGTTAAAAAACATCCAATGGCGTTTTATTACCACAATTATAATGTGATTACAAAAAAACTTTACAATACCATAAATCACATTGTGAGTATTATTACCGTAATTTAACATAAACTTGATGTATTTTTGGAATGCTGGGGAATTTCTGCTAACGAGCAACATGAGTGTAAAAGGAACCTCTTACACATGTCACCTCCTGCTTTTGTTAAAATGATTCTTTTGCATTAAGCATGTTATAGAAGTAAAGAATTCAACAATGTTCTCGTATAAACTGAAGATGTTAGAAAATAACTGAAAAGTTGTGTTCATTAAAGTAAAACAAATTAAACTGAAGTTTTTTGTTCAATGAAACTAATTAGAAACAGAAACAGTCGTAGGGTAGGAATGAACAGAAACATACAGTTAAATCCTGAAATCACAAAGGCCTAATGTGATTCAGTGAAATAGTCTTTAACCGTTCAAATTAGCAACGGTGATGCCATGTTGAGAAAACGATAGACTCCTGGAACCATATTTGCAGCTATTTACTGTTTTGTACAAAAGGACATTTTGTACAGTGTATGATCCACAGTCTGTGATGTGGACTTATAATGACTATCACCTCTTAGTTCCAGACAAACGCTGCACTTTGAAAAATAAACTTTGTCCAGACCTAGTGATAATTACATACTTTTAATGTTTGGGATAAATGCAGTGTTATTGTGTCTATGTAGTGTCTCTTTTGTGTCTCTTTTGTCCCTCGCTGCTTCTCCTCATCAGATTTAGTCATAGCAGGAGGTAAAGGAGGCGGAGGAGGCAGAGGAGGCGGAGGAGGCGGAGGAGGCAGAGGAGACAGAGGAGACAGAGGAGGCAGAGGAGGCAGAGGAGGAAGAGGAGGCAGAGGAGGCAGAGGAGGCAGAGGAGACAGAGGAGGCAGAGGAGGCAGAGGAGGAAGAGGAGGCAGAGGTGGCAGAGGAGGCAGAGGAGACAGAGGAGGCAGAGGAGGCAGAGGAGGCAGAGGAGGCAGAGGAGGAAGAGGAGGCAGAGGAGGCAGAGGAGGCAGAGGAGACAGAGGAGGCAGAGGAGGCAGAGGAGGCAGAGGAGGCAGAGGAGGCAGAGGAGGCAGAGGAGGCAGAGGAGGCAGAGGAGGCGGAGGAGGCAGAAGAGGCGGAGGAGGCGGAGGAGGCAGAGGAGGCAGAGGAGGCGGAGGAGGCAGAGGAGGCAGAGAAGACAGAGGAGGCAGAGGAGGCAGAGGAGGCAGAGGAGGAAGAGGAGGCAGAGGAGGCAGAGGAGGCAGAGGAGACAGAGGAGGCAGAGGAGGCAGAGGAGGCAGAGGAGGCAGAGGAGGAGGAGGAGGCGGAGGAGGCAGAGGAGGCGGAGGAGGCGGAGGAGGCGGAGGAGGCGGAGGAGGCGGAGGAGGCGGAGGAGACAGAGGAGACAGAGGAGGCAGAGGAGGCAGAGGAGACAGAGGAGGCAGAGGAGGCAGAGGAGGCAGAGGAGGCAGAGGAGACAGAGGAGGCAGAGGAGGCAGAGGAGGAGGAGGAGGCGGAGGAGGCAGAGGAGGCGGAGGAGGCGGAGGAGGCGGAGGAGGCGGAGGAGGCGGAGGAGGCGGAGGAGGCAGAGGAGGCAGAGGAGGCAGAGGAGGCGGAGGAGGCGGAGAGGACGGAGGAGGCAGAGGAGGCAGAGGAGGCGGAGGAGGCGGAGGAGGCAGAGGAGGCAGAGGAGGCAGAGGAGGCAGAGGAGGCAGAGGAGGCGGAGGAGGCGGAGGAGGCAGAGGAGGAAGAGGAGGCAGAGGAGGCGGAGGAGGCGGAGAGGACGGAGGAGGCAGAGGAGGCAGAGGAGGCAGAGGAGGCGGAGGAGGCGGAGGAGGCGGAGGAGGCGGAGGAGGCGGAGGAGGCAGAGGAGGTGAAAGGCCGCTCTCCAGTCTCTAATTACACCGCAACACGCCGGGATTTAACTTGGAGTAATTTTGGAAGACACCGAGCAGGACCTGGACCAGAGCAGGACCTGGACCAGAGCAGGGACGAGAGCAGGACCTGGACAAGAGCAGGACTTGGACCACAGCAGGACCTGGACCAGAGCAGGACATGGACCAGAGAAGGACTGCAGAGCAGGACCTGGACCAGAGCAGGACCCGGACCAGAGCAGGACCCGGACCAAAGCAGGACCTGGACCAGAGCAGGACCTGGACCAGAGCAGGACCTGGACCAGAGCAGGACTTGGACCACAGCAGGACCTGGACCAGAGCAGGACATGGACCAGAGAAGGACCTGGACCAGGACCTGGACCAGAGCAGGACCTGGACCAGAGCAGGACCTGGACCAGAGCAGGACCTGGACCAGGACCTGGACCAGAGCAGGACCTGGACAAGAACAGGACATGGACCAGAGCAGGACCTAGACCAGAGCAGGACCTGGACCAGAGCAGGACCTGGACCAGAGCAGGACCTGGACCAGAACAGGACAGCGGACCAGAGCAGGACCTGGACCAGAGCAGGACCTGGACCAGAGCAGGACCTGGACCAGAGCCGTCTGTGAAGGTTTTATTGGAATTATCATCTTGGTACAAAACACAACTGTTTTTGAGCTGGAAATAGTTCTTTATAATAATTTCACACTTATTTCAATCAAAAATATGGACCACAGAAAGATGCTTACACTGATGTGACACAGACAGAGGATGGATGCCTCGCTTCTGTCAGTGTGCCCCAGGGCAGCTGTGGCTACACCGTGTGGAGAGAAAGAATGTGTGTGCATTAATATGTATCCCCGTAGGGAACTTTGTCCTCAGCACACTGGGAAAGATACCTTGAAAATAATTGGAAAAACCAATGAAAATACTAAAATACTGCTTCAAATAATAGAAAGCATTTGTGACAAGATTTCAGAAAATAATAAAATAACGCTCATTTGGGGCTAGTGTTATGATTTATTATTTACTTATTTCTAAAAAAAAGTTGAGAAATGTTTTCTTAAATCATAGCATAACAAACGTATTTCATCTTAACAAGAAAAATGTTCTGTTAATAAGAAAAAAACACTTTAAACAAGATTAAAAAATCACTGCTCAGACTTTTTTCTCTAATAAAATTATGAAGTATTATTATCTAAAACTAGTAAGATAATATTACATGACAAACTTCATTCAAGCAACCAAAATAAGCACAATTTATTTTCAGTAAATAAATCTTACCAAGATTTTACTTTTTCCAGTGCATTTGACCCGTCCTGATGCCACTTGGGCCTCTGTCACGAGCAGAAAATGTATCTCTAAATGTTGATATTTAGTTCAATTCAATGTACAGTATTCTTGTATCGCCCTAAATCACAACAGTAGTTTTCACAGAGGACTAAACAAAACGGTTGAAATCGAGGGAAAAGTGAGAAACCTCGGTCCACATTGACAGAGTGGTCCAGTCCCACGGCTCGGTCAGGACCAGAGCAGGAGGATTTACCTTTAGTGCATGTTTTTAGTGGTACGTGAAACCGGAGCACCCAGAGGAAACCTTCGCAGACACGGGGAGAACATGCAAACTCCACTCAGGAAGACCCTGTTCTGACCGGGATTGGAACCCAGCACCTTCTGGCTGAGAAACAATCATAAACATCAAACAATCACAGACCAAACCTCACACAGAGTTTTGTTAAAATAGGATCTTTATTGAATCCATCTGGTTTTTTTTACTCTGCACAAATGGTTTCAGGATGGCAAAAAATAAGCTTAATGCTGCCTGTTCCTTGTACAGTCTGACAGTTGGGTGCCAACCAGAATAACTCTTTTCTCCCACGGTCCATGAACACAGCACTGCAGCCGCACGTCAACACAAACAACAGAGAAACACTGACATTAAAACAGATTTCTTCACTTCTGTCCGTTGCTGATGCTACTTTTTTGCGTCGTCACATCGCAAAACTTTATCTCAATCTCATGGGTACGTTAAAGCTGAGGTACGTAACTTTCAGACCACGCAGGAAGGAAGCCATGTAGTCCAAGAGCGGCTTCCATCACGAGCTTTCTGTATTTTTAGCCTCTGTCGCAATTTGGATTAGTTTAATTCCGACAAAAACGTGACAAAGAGAGGACCAGCCTCACTCGGCCAATCAGCTGTCAGCCCAAAGAGTCAAATAGTGCCTCACAGGGCTCTTTCTTACACATAATTAAAATATAACATGTTTTTTTTAATATTGTGCAGACGCTCTTTCTGGTGGGACAAACACTATATATGCTGTTTATGTGTAAAAATAAGGTACCCCAGCTTTAAAATGTTAATGTTATTGTCTGGTCCCCAACCTTTTTCACCCAGAGAGCTACTTTCCCGGGACAATAAAGGCAGAGAGCTACTCCTTAAAACAGCCCTGGGAAAAAAGTTGTGATAAATTGATGTGAACAATAATGAAAAATGATTAATACTATCTGAAATATTGCATTATTGTTTGATTTGTTCATTTCTAACTGCTTTGGCGAGCTACCTGGAAGGAGGTGGCGAGCTACAGGTTGGAGACCCCTGGTTTATACATATTCTCATGTTTAAATGTGTGACTTAAAAGAGGGTTTAGTGTCTATAAAACGCAGAAGAAGAGGTCCAAGAAGTGACTGCAGTAAGTACATGTGCAGGGCCGGAGTTGCCAATCGAAGGGGCCAGGGCCAAGGCCAGTCTCCGTTGGGGGCCCTTAATGAATGATTATAGTATTACAAAGCACAATATTTATTCTGTAAGTATGTAAAATAAAATTGGGAGAAGTTAAATTCAGTCCAAGCCTTTAAACTATTTAGTCTACTTCCGATTTCAGGCTCAGGACATTGGTGCCACAAAGAAGATGGGGGGGGGCTCTGTCTATTTTTGCCTAACATTAGCGCCACCACTGTGGGATCAAGGGAGACCGCCACTCAAAAACAAAACCGTTTGGACACATCAGCTGATTTATAATTCAAATTTGACAAACAAAACGTGAAATAATCCATAAACTCCGGTGTTTCTCAAAAGATAGACCTCAAGAATATCACTTTTTTATCTCAACAACATAAAGCTTTAGTCGCTCACAGTGGGAAGAGCTACGACCACACAGAAAAACGTTGGATCTTCCTCTAAATATATATTTGTGTTTAACAGTCAGGATGTAGAATGAGGAGCACCAACATGTAAGCTCCTCTAGCTCACATGTTGGTGCTCACAGAGACACATCAAAACCAACTTCTTATACAGTAAGAGTTTGTCCTGAATTTGAGGCCTGTGAAGTCAAAAAAATGTATATGTTTTTTGTGATTTGATGGAGGAGAATCTTCTGAGTCTGCTCATGTCTCTGGCTTCAGTCCAGGTCGAGTCCCAAGTCTTGGTTCTTTTATCAAAAATTGTGACTCCGAAGTCCAAGTCACCGCTGATTTCTGTATGAAAACGTGACTTAATGGAAAAATATTAGCGGTGTGAGTAAAGCTGCGTTCAGACCACAGAGGAGAGTGGACTGACAGACTTTTGTATCCGAAGAGAGTAGGAGCAAAACTTCGTCCATGAGCACTTCTCTGTTGCGCTTCAGTGACTTAGTGGGTAAGCATTGTCCATCTGTGAACAGTCTATGGTTCAGACAAAGCTGTTTTTTCTCCAAAATTGAGCACTTTTAGTTTGTTCCTACTCTTAAACGTACTTTGTCAGAATAATTAAGTTTTAGTTCTGGTTAGTCCTAATTATAGTGTAAAGTCTGGGGTCTCTACAGCTGCCTTCAGGACAGATTTAGCCTGATTCAAGACCCATTTTGGATGAAAAATAGGTCAAAAATTGCTCAAATATAGCTAAATGTGTGTTAATTTGAGCACATTTTGACTGCTTTCACACAAGAGTTGCCAACGGGACAAAGCGAAATGTTCTTGATTTAAAAATGTCTCCCTTGGAATGAGAAAATACAGTTCTTGAACAAAGTTGGAAAAATCTTGTTTTACCAAAGTCAGAATGTGCTCAGATTAAGATAAAAAAAACTGCCTCATATTATATCTTTTTTTCCAGAGTTGAGCTGTTTGTAAAGGTTCACGGATCTTGTGCTGTGCCTCATTCCTACTGTTCTATGACTTGCAATGCAACACTGACATTTCCTCACTGTGGGGCAAGAAAAGGATCTCTCTTATAGGATCTCGTCATCAGTCTTGTTTTGATTTTGAGGGTTATGAAATCTGAGGTCATTCTTACGATGCGTTTATCCAGTACTTTACTCTTTTCGAACTTTGAGGTAAGGTTTTGTTTTGGTTCCAGAGAGTTCAGAGAATCCTCGGCCTCATCCGGTCTCACAGAGGTCTCACTCGGTCTCACAGAGGTCTCACTCAGTCTCGCGGAGGTCTCACGCAGGTCTCGCGAAGGTCTCACGCAGGTCTCGCGAAGGTCTCATCCGGTCTCACAGAGGTCTCACGGAGGTCTCACTCGGTCTCATGGAGGTCTCATCCGGTCTCACGGAGGTCTCACTCAGACTCATCCGGTCTCACGGAGGTCTCACGGAGGTCTCACGGAGGTCTCACTCGGTCTCACGGAGGTCTCACTTTGTCTCATCCGGTCTCACAGAGGTCTCACTCGGTCTCATTGAGGTCTTGCTCGGTCTCACAGAGGTCTTGCTCGGTCTCACAGAGGTCTCACTTGGATCACGTTGACCTGTGAGTCGCTGCTTGTCCTGGAGGGGGCGCCGAGCTGCTGCAGGTGGTCGTTGGTGATGATGAAGACGATGGAGGAGGAGTTGAAGGTGACCCGCTTCTTGGGCCGGTCCCGCGGGCCACAGCTGCTGTCCGGGACGTAGATGGGCCTGATGGGCCGCTCCACGGGCTCCAGGGGGCGCTCTTTCAACCCGCGCTGCAGCTCGGACAGGCGCAAGCACAGCAGCTGCAGCAGGCAGCGGCGGAACTGAAACACAGAGAGAGAGAGAGAGGTCAGGGGGAGACTGAGGACCAGGACCAAGACCAGGACTACAGAGAGAGAGGGAGAGAGAGGTCAGGGGGAGACTGAGGACCAGGACCAAGACCAGGACTACAGAGAGAGAGGGAGAGAGAGGTCAGGGGGAGACTGAGGACCAGGACCAAGACCAGGACTACAGAGAGAGAGGGAGAGAGAGAGAGGGAGACTGAGGACCAGGACCAAGACCAGGACTACAGAGAGAGAGGGAGAGAGAGAAAGGGAGACTGAGGACCAGGACCAAGACCAGGACTACAGAGAGAGAAAGGTCAGGGGGAGACTGAGGACCAGGACCAGGACTACAGAGAGAGAGAGAGAGGGTTCAGAGGGACACCCTACAAAGTATATAAGCATGAAACATTCATAAATGGTGTGAAATCCACTCTCTCTGGTGCAGGCGGAAGGATAAGAGAGCGAGACTGAGCGAGATTGAGCGAGACTGAGCAAGACTGAGCGAGACTGAGGGAGACTGAGGGAGACTGAGGGAGACTGAGGGAGACTGAGGGAGACTGACCGAGACTGACCGAGACTGAGGGAGACTGAGGGAGACTGAGGGAGACTGAGCGAGACTGAGCGAGACTGAGGGAGACTGACCGAGACTGACCGAGACTGAGGGAGACTGAGGGAGACTGAGGGAGACTGAGCGAGACTGAGCGAGACTGAGGGAGACTGAGCGAGACTGAGCGAGACTGTGGGAGACTGAGGGAGACTGAGGGAGACTGAGCGAGACTGAGCGAGACTGAGCGAGACTGAGCGAGACTGAGCGAGACTGAAGTGGAAGAGAGAGAGTTAGGACCAGTTCCAGGGTCAAACACAACAGACTGCTCTGAAGTTTACAACACCACAACACTGCACAGATTCAAAATGATAACACAAACACTCATCATTGGTTGATGTGTGGAGCCCAGAGATACACACAAGTCTCTGACCAAGAGTCCAAGTCAAGTCCAAGTCTCAAGGTGTTAAACTGATGAAAATTCTTCAGATCAGATCTTTAGCTTCTGGTTTTGTGACATGGAAACTTCTGCTCCCATAATCCACGTCTGTTTCTCGCAGCACCCAAGGAACTGAGACCTGGGGGATGGAGACTTCTGATCAGGCTCAAGGTTCAAGGCTCAAGGCTCAAAGTTCAAGATATCTTTATTATCCTCGAGGGCCATGTTGGCTGCAGCAGCAGAAAGGCACACACAAAGAAACCATAAATACACAACAGGACTTGGTTTAAAAAATACCAACGGCAACAGGGATAAAAGAGTTCTTACTTCTGTGAGTTCTACTGCAATTAAATTTGAGAGTTTTGACTTTGGATGTGGTCGAATAACCACAACTTTCCGTTCTGTGAAAGAGTGAAACGGTCTTTAGCATCAACACTGGGGCGACAGTAGCGCCTTTGGGCCCGAAGGTTGCGGGTTCGAGCCCATCACGGGACCTACTCCAACTACTCCCACTAATGTCTGCTGTCCTTGTGTCCTTGGGCACATCTATCCACCTAACTGTCAATCTGTCTGTCTATCTATCTATCTATCTATCTATCTATCTATCTATCTATCTATCTATCTATCTATCTATCTATCTATCTATCTATCTATCTATCAATCTATCCATCTACAGTCTCTACGTAGCCGTCAATCTATCTCTGCTTGTGTCTCTTTGTAACGTTAATAAAAAGTCTTCTGTGGCTTTACACAGTCCCAGACCCTCGCCTCGTTGGTCCTTTTCTTCACAAGTAAAAACTAAAATGCAACCATGAAAATTGTGATTTCCGACCTCGGCACCTTCTGGAAAAAGCGGACTAAAGACTCAAGGCAACCCCATGGATGCCATTAAGGTTACGGTCCTCAACACTACACGTCTATTGACTTAATACATCTCTTTAGAACGAGAGAACGAGGCCTCAGTCGAAAAGAGAATGGAACCAGAAGAAAAACACTTGTATGGCAGTGTCTCATGCAATGGAATATCCCAAAATACATAAATAACCGTGTCTCAGTGACGCCAAACTCTGGCTTTACCTTGCGGCTCATGAAGACGTAGATGAGGGGGTTGTAGGCCGTGCTGGACTTGGCGAAGAAGGAGGGGATGATGGCGGCGGTGGGCGAGACCATGTTCCGGTGGCGTCCGAAGGCTTCCAGCATCGACACCACGGCGTACGGCGTCCAACAGATCAGGAAGCAGCCGATCATCAGCAAGAACATCACCGCCACCTTCTTCTCGTAGCGCAGCAGCTTAACCACCTGCACCGTCTGCAGGTCCTCGATGGAGCGAAGCTGGAGACACACATCAGTATTCACACATAATAATAATACTTTTTATTTACTCATGTGCTTTTGTATTGATTTGACTGTTTGTTGTTAATCACATTGTCATTATTCCATGTTAAAGCTGCACTAACTGACTTTATTTTTGTATTCATTACTAAAATGCTATCCATGTCCATGCAGTGCATTGGGATATACGTCTTTTTGAAGAAAAAGTAGCGCAGGTTTGTGCTGACGTGACATTATATTTTAGATCGAGTTTTGATGAATTAAGGAAGAGAATGTGTTTCGGGTCACAGATTGTGACCAATCACAGCGGACCACTGGCCCCCACTTTTGTGAGAAATCTACAGGTCCGTTAGCACAGACAGCTGAGTTAGCACAACAAGCCGAGGAGCTAACCTGAAGCTTCCTCGTCTTCATCATCGGTTACTGCTTACACAGCAAGACAGCCATCCAAAAGAAAGTCTCGTTCCTCCGCACTTCCTGGTTCTATCGTTCTATGGTCACGCCATCCATGTGCAAATCCATATCCATGTATTATCCATATTGGGAGACGCTAGCTCCGTCCCAACAGTGTGTGTGTGTGGGGGGAGATAGCTTCGTGGGTGCGGGGAGGGGAGCAGAAAGAGCGAGGCCAGAGAGTCCGTGGTTTCAGAATCCCAAAGTCAGTTAGTGCAGCTTTAACCGTGTTTTCAAAGAAGTTAATCCTGTTGTAGGAAAAGACGGAACAGATAAGATCGGAGGCCCCAACAAGGAGTGTCCGGAACATTATTTTTCTGAGATAATTTCATTTTGGCTCACTCCAAACTAAACTGGAAAACGCTTAAATCTGACTAAAAGCGGCAAAAAAATAAATGTATAAAATACTTTTTTTTAGTACACTAACTCATTGACTGCCAGCCGTTTTTGATGATTTCACTGATTTTTAAGCCCTACAGAATAATTTGTGCTATGAATATGTGAAATATGAAACCAGATTCTGAAAGACTGGACTGTCTACTTTCATCAACAAGAATATGTTTCTAGTTTTGTTTTGTTTTCCTGTAATCCCCAGTCGAATAGAGGGAAGTTCACTTAAAGTTCTTCAAACTATTAGTTCAACCTCCACAACACTGGGTCATTGGTGACATCATCGCAGCAGTTTCTCCTCTGAACACATTTCAAATGTTTTCGTTCATGTATCAATAACTTTCATCAATTCTCTGCGTTTTTTTAACATTATCATTAGCTTCTGTTGTGTCAGAATGAAACACACTTATCACTTCTGAAGAGTCTTTCACTATAAAACTAACTGTCCTCATGTCATCGCTTTGGTCACAAACAAAACTGGTTCAAACTTGAACTGGTTCAAAATCATATCTGTCAAGATAATTTCATACATTCCTTCATCTTTTTTTTCCTCTAAATCTTTGAACAATTGAACACATTTATCTGAGTTTCAACTTCACTCATGAGGTGTGGTTTATAGTTTACATTTGTCACAGTTTTACCATAATGATATTTCTTGTATGTTTGTTCCATGTATATATGTATATATATATATGTGACTGCAGTTCTACAGCATTGTGCAAAGAGCATATGCACGCAGTACACATACATACAGTACATACACACATAGATACACACATACATATACATACAGTACATACATGCAGTACATACACACATACATAGATACACACATACAGTACATACATACATAGATACACACATACAGTACATACATACATAGATACACACATACAGTACATACATACATAGATACACACATACAATACAGTACATACATACACACATACATACATACACACATACATAGATACACACATACAGTACATACATACATAGATACACACATACAGTACATACATACATAGATACACACATACAATACAGTACATACATACACACACACATACATAGATACACACATACATAGATACATACATACATAGATACACACATACAGTACATACATACATAGATACACACATACATAGATACACACATACAGTACATACATACATAGATACATACATACATAGATACACACATACAGTACATACATACATAGATACACACATACATAGATACATACATACATAGATACACACATACAGTACATACATACATAGATACACACATACATAGATACACATACATACATAGATACACACATACATAGATACATACATACATAGATACACACATACAGTACATACATACATAGATACACACATACAGTACATACATACATAGATACACACATACAGTACACACATACATAGATACACACATACAGTACATACATATATGTTACAGAATGTCAGTTACGTCTAGTAAATAGTCTTTGTGTAACTTTACTGTAGTTTTTACTGTAAATGTCTGCACAGGTCGTGTACAGCGAGCTCAGAGTCGTGCTCAAGTGTCTCCGAGATCTGACTTTTTACACTGAAAACACACAGAGTAAGTCATGTGACTGTTGTTCATACTCAATGTTGTTAGGACTTATTATTTTGACGACACAGACAGTTTCATTGACCTGAAGACTTGCTTTTGAGGAAAAAACTTTTCGTTTTGAGAAGGTGACGCACTTTTTGCAGGTTATCCACAAGGTTCTGCAGTTTGCACTAATTGTTCTGAGAAATGCACCAAAGCCACTGAGAAAAACTGTAATGGTTTATGTTTGGAGATAAGACTAGAATCAATCTGTAATTATAGATTATACATTATACAAAACAATATCATTCAATAACTGCAGGATCGTGAGGGGCAGGTGGCATCTTAGACCCAGAAATGGATGAATGAATAAAGTGGATGAAATTGAATGAATGAATAAATGGTCATCTGCCCCTTCTGGACCAATGGCTCTTCACTCAGAAAGCCCCTGTTATGACCGGGATTCAAACCCAGAACCTTCTTGCTGATAA